AAAAGTAGCACAATTTCACACAAAAGGATGTGAGCGGCTCACGCCTCACGTGTGTGAGTGTATCGGAGGTCACGTAAGGGCGGAACCATTGGAGCTTTACGCTCAGACAGTCCGTCTGTCACTCCACCCAAACAGCCATGCGGATGCCTGCCAGGTCTGCGATTAATATTCGGTTGACAACCTTTCAAGTCAGCACTTGTTGCGCAAGGTCATATTCGAAGGCTCGGATCACACATACAGCAGAGGAGTCACACGCACAAGGAGCTAAGAAGCACACTTCCTACATAAGTGGGACGTGACGACTGCGTGCTTAGGTCGTGTGATGTGGGGCGTGGTGAGGTGTGACCAAAGTGCTAGTGAGAAAACGATATAGCGACTAGCTCGCGTTGAAGTGAACTTTCCCAGAGGCCCACCGATGTGGTTGTCGACGTCCAGGAACAGCCCATCACAGTTGCCGCAAAGATGCTGTCGGGCCCGGCGACGAATAGCAAGCCTGCAAACTTGAACGCTTGCTCTCTGGGTCGCGGGGATTTCCTGCAACTAAGCCGCACTTCGGGTCACGCCGCTCTAGCGGAAAGTCGTGCTCTCCGTAGTCATAACTATTTCCTTTTATTCTTCGTTCCTCTGTGTATACAACAAGCCATTCCTACTATTTTTGCCTCCATCAACTTCTTCTCCACTAAGTAGCCATGGTCTGAAGATCGCAGTTGCTAGGGTTTAATTTACTTAAGCCCCTGCGATAAAGAGCGTTAATGTGATAAAGCTAGCGGGTGTCTACCACAGGTTTTCGTGGCGGCGGCTGTGGTCGGATACGCCCATGCGATGGGTGAGTGTATGCGTGGGCAGTGCGGATAGTCGAGGCTGGTATGGTGGATGCATATTGGTGCTTCTGGTACTAGTTCGCCAGTCTCTGTGCGACTGATCCACAGGTGATCGATCAAGCCGATGCGTGAGGTGCACGCGTGATCATAATGGGGACAGGCTTGGATCGAGTCCCCATTGTCGGTGGTGAAGCGGTTTTTTTGTTGTTCGTTGAGACAGGGATAATGGTTTCATTGATCGTGGGTGGCGCGATGTCGGTAGATTGAGCACTGCAGTTAGGAGAGGGGAGGGATTGTTGCTATAGATCTCATGGAGTACGAGGCAAAGGTGGCAGTAGGGGTGTTTGCGAACCTAACAATTGATTTTGCCGGGTTGGGGCGGCACTGCATCCAAAGATGTCCGACGAGGCTGGTCGCGCGCAATGATCGTTAGCGGCGTGGGCGTGATGGAAGGGATTGGTTGTAGGCGCTGTGGTTCAGTGACGTTTGAAATATGTGAGGCAACCGTTAGGCTATAGCAGCGGCGCTCCTTACGGTAAACGTCCATTAGCATGGTAGAGAACATACTACCGAAGAGGATGGAACGAGTACGCGGCTCTGCTTCACTCGGTTTTTGACTGCGAGTGCCTCGGATACCTCAACCGTTGTCAATAGCGCGCGCGCCATAATTCCGTCGTAGAACTGACACGCCATTTGTGTGAAACCGCTCAGAACAGACGACTTGTTGGGGGATCCTCCACGGTCCATCGCGATTAGTTATGGCAAAGGCTTCCTTTAGATCTACGAAGTTAGTTTGGAAGTGAGTGTGCATCTTGTGGAACTTCTGTTGTAGTTGGCAAGCGGCGAATATAATGTCCTTTGGTCCGCGGTGTCGACGGAAGCCCTATTGGCTTTCTGAGATAGGTCCATGCCCTAGGTGGCCAATGAGATGATTGGGAAAAATTTGAGCAAATACCTCTGCAATATTGAGCAGTAAGATGCCTCTTCGGTGATTACGGAGTTGCCAGTTCCCTTGCCGCTTTTAGAGCTTGACGAAAGTTGTGTCCTTAAAAGACGGAGGAAGCTGTCCTTAGCATCAAATCTTCTGGAACATCGTCATTAGTTCCGCCATCGGTCGGGACGGCCGTGCTTGTAGATCATAGCAGTGACCATTTCTGCTAGGGAAGGTAGGAGTTCCACGTCATTGTTCGTTTCCACTCGGGGGAACCAATAGATAGCAGCAACGCAAATGGTTGAGTACACATGAGAAGTGTTCGACCCAGCGCTCCAGATGTTATAATTTCTTTGTCACAGGCTCTCTGGCGACGGAATTGAGCAGAGGTATGATTTCCTAAGTGCAAGGCCGTAGATGGTTTTGATCTAAGCAAATAAATTTCTCATTTCGTGGTGGTCGGCGTACGCTTTGATTTCTTCGGACTTGTCGGTCATTCAAGCGTTTCGCAGTCGTTGCTGTAAAGAGCGGCGGCAGAACGGAAGAGACGATGTTTCACGCAGGATTGCAAAATAATAAGGTCGTTATCGTTATAGCCATCGAGAACATGACACCCCAAACTTCCCTAGAAGACAGCCTGGTCCGTCCCAACGGTCGCATTCAAGTCGCCAAGGACAAGCAGCTTGCCCGTCTTCGGCGCAATCGGTAGGAGGGCGTCCACGTCCTCGTAGAAGTCTTTCTTCACCTCAAAATAATTCGTAATTCCAGGAATTGTTCCAATTTCGTGGCACTAAAGTAACCGTAAAATAAAGCCTCACCCGAACCTTAAGTCTAACCCTATTTCTAAATGTAATCCTACCCCACCTCTAGCCTAGCCCTAATCTAACTGTCTTTTATTGCAAGACTATCTGTATTACAGGGAGGGGTAATATTCACGTGAAAAACCCAAGCCAGAGAGCAGAAGCACTGTTATCTAGCTGAGCATTCGGAGGGGCCCAAAAAGGCGTTGATGGCTCGACGCACAACCGAACGCCCAGAGCATTACCTAAAAGTCAGTTTGCCATTAAATGGGTAAATGCGCAAGCGGGCTAAAGGCGCTCTGGTAGCTCGGCATTCTTCAGCCTGACTGTACATTTTGGCCGTTGTACGAGCCATCCATGTGCATTTAACAAGTGCCAACCAAAGTTCAAGTTCTGAAATTTCAGCGACAAACTTTTTGTCACAAAATAAATCGAATTATGCATCCGACAGAGGCAGTGGCCTCGTTATGCCGTGCATTTACTAGGGGTTGAAATTGATGACTGACACTCTACAGACATTGGGACGAAAATGCTAAACAGCAGAATATGTTATTCGGTAAATACCTAACTGAATGCAATTAAGAAATTCTAAAGGAATCGAGTCCCTATACAACGAATGCTTTGCTCTTCGCGTTTTTCTAACAAGGGAATAATGACTGAACCGTCCCACAAAAGGGAACTCTTGGAGGCCAGTGCTTTTCCTGACCTCGAAAAAAATTACGTTAAAGAGTAAAGACTTGGAAACGGGGCTTTCATCCCGGGGATCCGTAAGCCTGCCTGTCAATTGTTGCATGCAGTTCGTCGATGGGATTATGAGGAAAGCGTGCCAAGCTTCATGCGACATTTACTAACTCTTGTACTTTCTGTAACTTTCTATGAACACACATCTGCACCAACATCCACAAATAACCTAGAAGGGCAAAAAACCAGTCGACATTCACATTTTTGAATAGCGACTGGCGATAAGTGAGTTGAACGCCATCCGGAAAATTCTATCCGTCACTGGAGAGAAAAGGTCATTCTGAACAGAGGCAATGCGGGAACCAGACAGTTTTCAAATGTCAATTCGAACAGACAGCGCATCGTCGTTCCCCTGACTCACCGTGTCTTACACAGTCATCTCGATCGTGGCCAGAAAAGGCGAATTGTGATGTGGTTAATATCAGCGGCAAGGACAATGTAGGACGCGACGCGAAAAAAGTATTGGCTCTCGGGGAACCGGTGGACGAAAACGCGGGCAGTCACTTGCGC